CACTTAAACTAAAACTTTTTACTATCTACCAACTAACTGTGAAGCCTCAGATGAATACCCTTTTACGGTAACTACAACTGCGACATATTTTTACCGTTAGTTAGTTAGCAAAAGGACTTCAAACAATTTCAAGTGGTGTGAAACAAAACAAAGTATATAAAGCGCTACTCCTAAGTATTTCTTAGATATTGTTATTTTCTGAAAACTTTCTTAAAGCTTAGATTAAGAAATATTCCATTTGTCAATGTGCAACGGCTTAAGAGAAAAGATGAAAGGCTATATATACACTTGTATAGGCATGTAATTTGTCCAGGTTAGTCAGGTAGAACCTTAATGGGGAAAAGAAAAGAAACACATTTCAGTTGAATTACTCTTCACACCTTTGGCTGTTGATCGAAGAATCTTTTCCAAAAATATAAACTCGAAAAAAAAAACAAAATGATTGTTGCTGAATGGCGTAAGAGCAACAAAACGAAATGATATGAAACGAAAACTAAAAATTGGTTGTGCTTTGAGAAATCTCTATTGTAATCATTGTTGAAACTCTATTTTCTATAATGGCTGTAAAAGCTTTAAGATATTTTCAGCTAAACTTAGGTATCTTAATACTAACTATTGCTGTAACTGAAACTTAAGTCTATTTGATCAACTTTGTACGGTCTGTACCTTAAATACTATTACTACTTTTACTCGTTGCAAATTGTAATTGTACTCTGAAAAAAAAAAAAAAAAAGACAGGAGAAATAAAGAAAACACTGTAAAAATAACACCATATCAACGTGAAGCGTTGAGGACAAGGATTAGCAAAGATTAAGGATAGCGCTTTAAAAGCGCAGAGTGTGTGTAGCATGGCTTACGAATATAAAAAAACTTTGTTAAAATTAGTAAATACTGGCATTAAACTATTTAATACAATATATATATATATACATACCTACCTATAGACCGATGTGAACAATATGAACGTACATATATATACATATATATATATACAAATATTATTATATATGTAGCATAACCAAAAACCAAAATGAAGAAAAACACCCACAACAATATGTATATCAAATTGAGTTTCAATAAACAAACAATATTTATTTGAGCGATGATGTATTCTTATTCCGACCAAAGAACATTTACAGTAATATACATATCAAATAATGCAATTTACACCTTCAGCACGAAAATTGAACTATAGATGGCGCCAGTAATCCAGTCTACGATTTGGGCAGAGTACATGATAATATCGCCACCACTGTAGGCAAAAGGGAAATTCTCTTCTTATGCAAAAATCAAGTATACAAACCGCTGACAACTTACCCAATGTAATCAGCACAAAAAGATTAAATGTTAGCAAGCAGTAGGGAACCATGCAAAAGCCCATTAAAATATTCGCCACAATGACCGAGAGGCGCGCAAACAAAAAGGCCATGCTGATGGCCATGCCTCTGTGAATATATAAATGCATATAGACTATAAACAGCATTGGCAACACTGGCATTTCAATCACCTGATATGCGTCGGCATTAGATCAAGTAAAACGGATGAGATCAGTGGAATGCAGCTGGTGCAGAGCGTAGTGAACAGCGCCGTGGCCACCAGGATGGGCACATTATCCACCAGCATATTGAGGCTTAGACCGCATATGGTTGCGAGAGTCGTAAACATGAATAGAATTTGAAAATGTCGCATGCATAGCAAAAATACGCTGACCGCAATGCTGCACCCAAGAAAAGTGGAACCCAAAACGACAGAGTCGATGTAGTTGGATGTCTTTGATGGACAAATCCGTTGGGCCTTCACGGTATTCGTTGCGTTACTCTGCAACATATCACAGATGGTCATCCGCCTGTTGCCCATCAACTGACGCAGCTCCATGAACCACATCGAAATAGCAGAGCCTCTAATGGGAAGAGAGTGGACAAATTACATTTGGCACAGACCTTTGTGAAGACACAAACTCACACAAATAAAAAACCACAGAGAATGGTGGTGCAGATCAGAAAATTGCCCACAAGGGGCTGCCGGAACAGTGGCGCCGTGCCCCTCCAGATTTTGACGCAACAATTGCGATTATCTCCCAAATTTGAGGGAGTGTCGGGATCAGTAACGCCTGTGATGCCGACGCTAGTCAAGTCCTGCTTTCGCTTCGATTTGTAGAGACGATTGATGGTCTGATAGGCACGTTCATCCTCCCCAATGGATAGTAAGAATTTGGCCGACTCCGGCAGAGTCGCAAAGAAGATAATGGCTAAAATGCCAGGAGTCATATTAATAAGCAAACTAAGACGCCAAGTCTGCCATTTAAATTTGTACATGGTAAACATTACACGATTCATTGGCGCCAGCATATAAGCTACAACTGAGGGGAGTCTCTGGCTTAGTAGAGTCAAGGAAGTCAAGGGATAGGAAGCAGAAGAGACGCGACTTACGTGGCAAGTAAATGGCACTGGCTGCAAAGGCGTAGCACATAAAGTTGATGATCGAAGCGCGATATTTGGCTTTGGTATACTCCGACATATACGTAATGTTATTGCAACTGGCACCGGAGACGCTGTGGAGCAGATAGTAGCCATTGCTAGATTATTAGCTAGGTGAAACGTTGGAGCGTACTCACAACAAACCGGTCAAGAATCTCAACAGTGCGAATAAATAGAAAGTAGGCATAAATATTGAAGTCATCGACGATGATACTGCCATGCATAAGGAATACATCATCACCTTGCGCCGTCCAATCTGATCCGTCTTGAAGCCCGAATAATGCGATCCCAAAATTAATCCAGCAAAGCCTGCACTGGATAGTATAGAAAGTTCCAAACTGCTCAGTGAGAACTCACAGGCTATGTCTACGGAGACCACATTGATGCCTATGATTTCGTTGACAATGAATATGCTGGCAAATGTGCAGCCCAAGAACATCAGCACTTGGATCCAACCGAATCCTATGGGCGAAATCGCTGACTGATCAAGTTGATATAGAAAATATATTTACCAATTAGATCCAATACTTCGTCTATCTGCGCAACAGCCATGTTTCAAATTATATATATGTATAAAAAAAAAAAAAAATAGTTTACAACAAATACTAAAAATCTTGACAGCTAAATCGAAATGTTGCAAAATATACAAAAACTTTAAGCTTCTGCAGCTGTACTACAGATGGCGCCAGTAGTTTCTATAGCATATCAGTTAGCTTTTGTTTGGCTTTAACGAAGGCTAGCACCACTTGCACCAAGGCCGGAAAATTATTAAACCACATTCGATAATTTTTTATATTTTTTATATTTATTTTATAATTACATATGTTCTGATGTTCACTCATAGATTGAACGACGACGCCTACATCACATCAATGATGCTCAGCTTTTCATGTATAAATTATATAAAGTTGAGAATTTCGGAATTTTATTTTCTGCTTAGTTTAGGCTTTGTTTTAGTTTAGTTTACTGAACAAGGTCATCCACACTCAATTGTTCATCAGTATAAATGCTAAATCTGCGAGAACTATAAAGCATTACTCAAGTGCGACAAAGAAACACTGGTTATGCAAGGATAGCTGTTTCGGCATATTTACAACCTGCTTGGGTATATCATTCGTAGAGCTAGACCGGACTCGGACTGCAAACGGACGAACCAGTTGCCAAGCAGATGGGCAAAATAAAATAAATTCAAGTACAGTAGAAACTAACTAACTAAGAATCTTATTCACTTGCCAGGCCTACAAAGCGTTCGCTATGCAGCAGACTTTCAACTTTTGATTACGGTTATTAATATATGCATGTTTTCGTTTTTCCATTATATATATGTATATATAGTATATATATTATTATTTATGTAAAGTATAAATAAATGTATTGCAAAGTGGCGTTCAACATAACAAAAGGTAGCGCCAAGCGGCTTTGCATTTGACTTAAGTCTTAAAAGTTGTCAACTTAACGAACTAAGGGGCCCTAAAACAAAATTTATTCTGAATTGTAATTAATTCTTGTGTTTAGCTCATCATCATCATCTCATTAAACATATACATATATGTGTGTGTGTATGTATGTAGGTGTATGTGTGTGTGTGAAAATGTACAAGGCAAAAGCAATACAAAAGTTATTTAGGTATAAAATTATAATTAAGTTTTTTTCCATCTTGTTTTTTTTTTTTGTTTTGTTTTTGTTTTTCTTTTTGTTTTATGCATAAAGTGTAAAGTAAAATGTACAATTGTTGCTATTCCATATTTAACAAGCTAACGCGTTCTTTGCTCTCCAATTCGCATATGCCTCATGCACAATGCAAAATTGTCATAACTTTTGCTATAATTAACACTTTAAGTCGATCTTCATTGAATATTACTGAATGTGGTCCAGGGAAGCGTTCTTTCTCTCTTCTCTAGTTTAATGCATTTCTTTCTCTCAATATATATAAGTATGTATATATATATATAATATATATATTTATCAATGATTTAAGGTGCATTTATTTAGTGTTTCTTCTTTGTATCTAATAGCCACAATAACTGTTGCTTTTCTTGGTCAGCTCGAAAAGTAGCAGGTGCCATTAAATATGAAATGTGATTATAAAAAATAAATCTAGTAAGCATATTGCAAGGTGCGCTTAGGCATTAGTATGCCTTCAATATGTTTACCAGCTTATTTTTTATGACGAATGTGAAATATGTAGTTTTCTTCTTCTTATTTTTCTTTCTTTCTTTTTTCTTTTTTTTTTTTTGAGTGCCATATAAATTACATTTTATATATGTTGTGTATAAATAGTTAATACATGATTGTTATACTTGTTCTGTTGTGAAAAAGGGACATATTTGAAATTTCTTTCGCTTACAATTAGGTGAGGTCTGCTCGTGGGTGCACATATGTATGTATGCATGTATATATACCCATGTATATATATACACATATGTAAATATGTAGCTATGCTTAGTGATCGCATTATATAATTTATGATATCTCTACTTCAATCAATGCCAAAGTAAATCAAAGTAAATATACAAATGAGCGTTCAGAAAATGAATTTTTAACTTATCTTAAGTCGAATGTACATGGTTGTGCGTAAGATGCGTGTGTGTGGGTATGTATTTGTGTGTGCGAGAGTGTGAATATTCGTGATAGTTGTGGTATTCAGTTTTTATGGCTGTCCAGAATAACGCAAAGTTATGACAAAAGTACACAATTGTATGGAACATATGCAAATGCTGTTAAGTAGTTAAAATTTGCTTAACTGCTCGCTCCTGCCGCCTAATCTAATCTAAGCAAAGAGTGTGCACTCGATGTAACTCGTGGGCACAAAGCCCTCGTCCCAGCCATTTGTGTTGTTCGCCCGCCGCACGCGCGTCCATCCATCGCCCTGATCATTCTCAATCACTTGAAGCTCCTCACCCTCGCTCATGGGTATACTGCCTTCGCTGGTAGCTGTCAAAGAAAAAAGAGAGATATTAATCACATCGAATATGTATATAGAGTAATATTTAAATACATACCTTCGAAGGGATATAGCGCACGACATGTGCCCAGTGGTTGCAGCATTTCTACTTCCGCTTCGTAGCTCGTCTCTTCACCAATCGGATTCTCATTGGCGCTGCCCTGTCCGGAGCCGGGCAGTGATGTGTGCGAGGTGCCTAGTCCGCTCTCGGGACTTGCCGAACTGCTGGATTTCACCATGGAAAGGCAAAATGAAACGAAATATTTGAAGAAGTTGCAATTTCGACATTATTACGTGTTATATGTATGGTGTAAGCAATTAAAAATGATTACGAACTAAAAGTAATTTAGTTAATTGAATACAAACAAGATCAAATTTTGTTTCTTTGGCATATTGTGGACTTTTCTTTAGTGGGCAGTTGTTCTTATTATTCAAATGACAAATCATGACATAAATAACTGAACAAATAGAACCGAAACCAACAACAAAATCAATGCCACCAAACAATGTACAATGGAAATCATACAGCATGAGTACGAAAACGATCCAAATCATAAGTATGATACGATTTACAATAATGTATGGAGGTGTGTGTATGTGTGTGTGTATGTGTATATGTGTTTGTATTAATGTGTAGCTGTATGTGCGTATATATAAACATTGAACGTAGACTTATGAGTGTACCCGTTATTGTTATTATTATGCCCATTTTGTATTTGCGCCACATTATCCTCAGAATCTGACCTGCTTAAGCTGCCAGCATCATCGGGCTGATCATCGGCATCATGATGATCATCAGCGCTAGCGCTGCCATTGGAATGTCTGTGAAAACAAAAAGTAATACATTTGATTTAGGCCATACTATGGGAGTATAATACAAATTGTCGGCCACTCACCTGGATGTTCGGTGTCCGTTTTGCAATTGATTACGATTCGATTGCGGACTATTGTTGGCCACCTGCAGCTGATTAGCCTTGTCCAAAAAGCCTTGATACTTTTTCAAACTCATTTTCAGTTTATCCAATTCGTGCTCGGATTCGTTCAGTTGACCCTCAACGGTCATCGGGTTGCCCAGCGAAGAGTTTGCCTCATAAACAATTTTCATCTTCATCAGACCATCGCGGGTATTCGTCTCCTGATCGACCTTATGCTGTAGCTCGGCAATTTTCGCCTGCAGCTTTTTGCGCTGCTGATTCGGTGGCAGATCGCTAAAGTCCTCCTTTTGGCCGTCCGCAGTAAGTGAATTCTAGATATGAATATATTAAATAATTAGTTATTGAACTCAGCTGCAAGAGACTTCTATATATGTATATATTTATAGGGTATGTTGAAGTGCAATGAACTATACAAGACAGAAATGATGGAACAACAATTTTATACAAAATACATTCACAACGTATAGCAGACGCCAGATGGGAGAAAAAACAAAACAAATGAAAACCTGAATTCAAGTAAAAACCAATAAATGAAATGATTAGTAAAAATTGCATTTTGCATTCCTTTCTTTTTGTAATTCCTTTTAAATACCAACAACAAATTAGAATTGAAATTAAATTATTTGTTCTGCAATGTGTGAGTGTTGTGCTTTGGCGTGTTGCGTTCACTAACTAACTAACTAGTTAACAAATGAGTTAATTTATCTTGAGTATTACATTTCATTGATTAGGTTTTAGTTCAAATGCTGTTCTTAAGGTTAGGTGTACAACGTGATTGTGAAACTCAATGAAGAGCTTGATTAAGTTGCTTGTGGCGATTATGTTTAGCAGTTGTGATTAGTAGTTAATGTGGTGTTAAGAGCAGTTAGTTAGTAGAGCTGGAATATACATCATACCTTCATCGTGATACAAGCTTCAATTATCTGCCGTTGCTATTGGCAGCGAATTGATTTAGAATTATTGTTATTTATTACATTGAAAACGTATCACAGTTTGTTTTTCCGCATGTGTGGGTGTTGTGTATGTATGTTTGTGTAAGTAAAAGCATGTTTTTGTTCGTGTTAGAAAATTGTATGACAGCAACAAATATGCGTAAAAGAAATTAAAGAGTTAATTATAATTAATATTTGTGAAAATTTTGAGTGGTTTGTGGCGAATTGTCGAAAATGGAAAAGCGAGTGGGGAAAAGCGTAGGCAGCCAATGTTGTTGCATAATATATAACATTTGTTTAGTAATGTGACAAACAACAGAGACGTAAAAATATATATATAAATTCGTATGCATTTGTTAATTGTATAGAGTAGATAAGTATTGGGTAGATAGATGAAAGACTGCGAGAATCTTGTTTAGGTTTAGTTGACATGTAAGACATGAGTTTGGAGGACACGAAACGAAACGGCGCTGAGCTGCCTGGGTGCGAGCTGCTGGCAGCTGGACACTTGGTACTTACAGCAACGTGGAACCAACGTCCATTAGTTTCGTAACATAAATTAAAGAAATGGCATAACGATTTTTCGATTGGTTTCGTTAAATGAAATAAGAACAGAAAAATAGAGACGGCATGAGTAAAACTATAAGTAGAAGACAAAAAGCCTACGACTTAATAATTAACTTAAAACTAATCAAGAAGCATCTGAAACACAAGAGGCGGTTGTGCTGACTGCTCGAATCTCTCGCAACAAACAGAAGTTTAAAGAGATAAATTAAGAGATAGAAAGAGACAGAGAGACAGTTTGTGCCAGGCAATGATAGAGATGGGATAGAGACACATGTACATAACAGAGGAGCACTCTTTGAAAGAAAAAAGGCAGCTAAGTGGTAAACCATAACCAGAAGCAGGCATCGCCAACGACTGCTCTCACCTTGTTGCTGCCAAAGATGCTGTTTAAGATGCCGCCGCGGGCCTTCTTCAGCTTGGCGGCGGTCAGCGTGCCGCCCTTAATGGTCAAGTGGTTGTAGGGGACACTGCTGTAGTTGGATTGAGGGGCGACGCCGGGGTCCATCTTTGACAGATCCTCAAATGGTATGTCCGTTGGTGGTGTGAAGCCCGATTGGTATCTAAAATGTTGACAGTGATTAGCTGTGACAGCGAACCAAAGAAAAAATATCCAGTTTCTAATCAAACCTTTCGATGACTTTTAACGAGTCTTCTTTCTCGTTTATGGATTCGCCCGCCTTGACAATGCCTTCCATGCAACGCGCGATAATGGGCGCCACAGAGGACTCCACGTCCGCGGCGCCAATAATGAACTCCCGTATGCCACGCGTACGCTTCTCGTCTAGCTCCTGCAGCCGATTGAAGACGGCGGGCAATAGTATACCATAGTGCTGCTGCTGTAGATTGTTTGTTTTCTGCAGTTGGTTGGCGTATTCGTTCTTTGCATCGTCCGACTGTTGTATTTTGGATGTCATAATGTTCTTGTAACGCTCCACCTCGGCGCGACTCAGATTGAGATCCATGTCAGCCTTCTTGTAGTTCTCCACAGCCTTCTCGGAGTCCCGATACGCCTTGTCATAGTTGCGCTTGGCGCGCTCCAATGCCGAGAGCTGTGCGCTGAGGGTCTGTTGCAGCATGGTGCCATCTGTAAGGCATTTCTACAAAGGGGAAGAGGAAGAGTAATGAACATCTAGCATACAGACTGATATTTGCTAAATATATAGTTTACCTTGCGGTCCTCTCGCAGTGTTTTCGATAGCACCGTCACGCCGTGGATTATCTGCGTCTGCAGGGTCTCCGACACAACCTCGCGCTGCCCCGCCAAATCGCCCACCTCCTTGAGCAGATTGCGGAAAGCTTGCCTCGATGTAAATCTGTAAATAGTAAGGCAGCCAGGCAATCAGTTAACCGGGTTTACAGTCAACCCACGCCTTTTCTCGCCTCTTCTCGCGGCTACACCAACTACCTCCAATGTCTGTCCCTAAAAAACCAACTTGCTAGCCCGCCAGCTTTGCCGATTTATGGCCCTCTTATTGGACACGCGCTTTGTGACGCGCACTGAACACCCACGCGACGCTGTCGTCGCCACTGCCTTTCTGTCTTACTATCTGTCTGTCTGCCCGTCTGTCTCACTGTCAATCCACATATGGAGCAGTTCCAGGCCGGGCAGAAACCATGAATAAATTTATGGATTTTTACAACTCTATATGGCGATACGTCGATCGAGCTTGAATGCTGCCTGGCATTTCATTGCCAACTCTTCAACTTGGACGCAATGGCTTCATTGTCATATTACAAATTCTAGCTAATAAAGAGAAAGAGAGAGAGAGAGAGAGAAAATCGCTTCGCGCTATTTGCGAGCTATGATGTCAGGCGGTCGCAAAACTGGAGAATGATTCGAGCATTGTGCGTATGTAACTAAAACTGAGTGGCAGGCCTTACAATATTCTCAGACCACACATGGAATATGGAGCCTAAAGTAGCCACAATCGTTCATCCACATGATGTGGCTGTGCCCCGCAAATGAAATGCCACAGGCACGCACAGACAGAGGCAACCAAATGGATTTACTCATAGACATTCATTGCTGGCGTTGGCCAAAATCCACTTAACACGTTGCTCTAACATATATGCCAAACAGCAGCAGCAGCAAATCGAACAAATTATGGATAATTTTCCAAAAGATTTAACAAAACTTTTGCGCAATCGTGTTAAAGAAACCCATCAACAATTTAGGCATACCCTGTATGAAGAGTAAGGCAAAGGCTATGCACGATTTAAAGAGCAGCATGTAACTAAATTATATAGAACTCCGTCTATGCTTCTCCAGGGTATATCTATGCTGAGCAACTGCACAGCTTAACAGCTCTCTTACTTTTCTTATTATATGATTGTTATTACGCTTATAACTATATTTGTTAGTTTAGTTTGTGCTTACTCATTGTCTTCCTCCTCCTTCTTTTTGGGCTGATAATTTTTCACTAAGCGCCTGTAAAAAAGAAAGAAAACCAAAAGAGCATGGCATTAGTGAAACTTTGTTTATGCATAGAAAGAAACAACAACTATCTATGTATAACTACTTTTGCAATAATAACAAGAGCAACAAGAGCAACAAAATCAGCAACAACAACAGCAAACAATTTACATTTGCATTAACACGAGACTTTTCATTTTGGCATTGCGAGACACGCAAAGCAATCTTCAAATTTCAGTCTGCCAGACTAGAGATTTCAGATTTCAGATTTCACTAACTACTATATATACCTATATACTTATATGTATATATATATTTAGTCTATTATACAGAGAGTTTTCCATTTCATGTGGCCGCATTTGTGGTCTAGTTCGAGCGCATGGGAAGCAACGCCGCCACCGTCGTCGTCGTCGTCGAAGCCGCCAACGCTGTCTTGCAATGATAATGTCATTATAAAGGGCTCAGGCCGTACGGTAGCTAGCTGCAGGCATATCAGCGGCCACAGTTCACTTGGTTCAGTCGAGTTCAGTCAGTCATCAAGCCAGCTCTCGACTCATTTTGCGGCATTCAAATGGTGGGAACAGATGCCACCACATTGAGAAATATTAAAGAAGATGACGAAGAAGAAGAAGCCAACGATAGCCACGATAACTGACAACAATCCCACCTTGGCCAGAGTAGCGCCGCAGAGGGGTGGAGCGTCGACTCTACGCTCCTCAAGCAATTTATACAATTATGACGCCCAGTCAGTCGGTTGGCTGGCTGGGCTCGTCGTTGCCCAAGCTCAATCCCATTAAACAGGCAGCATTATCAGCTACACCCAGCGCGAGGCGTCGCGTGTCATTTGCTTGTGGGGCAGGTCGCGGTCGTCTCGCGTCTCTTGTTTATTCAGTTGTCAGTCTATTGCGCAATAAATTGCGCTACAGCCGAACCCGTGTGGACATGTGGACATAGTCAGGGGTGTAAGCCACGCATACCCCAACGCCCAGCTTTCTATACACACGTTGAGGTGCGCCCCAACATTCTCTGCAGCATTGCGTCCATGTGTTGTTGCTTGCAAAGGGCATTAATTGAAGTGCATGTACATATACACTGTATGAGTAAAATGTCTTTATGGGCTCTCGGTCTCGGTCTCTCTCTCTCTCTCTTTCTCGCTTTTTATTTTATACAGCCAGCTGATGGCCAGGAATGGCCACAATGCACTTCGAGCACAATCTCTAGAACTGGCTGACCTTGTGCTTATTCCATTTTTCAATTCATATAAAAATAAAAAAAAAAAACAAAAAATAATATTTAAAAAAAAAAAATACTTTTACATTTACGAGAATTGCACTGCCGTTCAGTTTAATGTGTCTTGTTTCTTGTAAGGAATTGTTTGTTGCTTTTATTGTTGTTTATTTGCTTGTTTTTTGTTTTTGTCTTGACAGGCCGCAAGCCCGCGAAACGGGCGAGGCCTTTGGCATCCATTCGTATACAAAAAATATCATTTAATTGAACGTTCAAATATGGACATTAAGTGGCGCATTTGTAATTATTTCAATTAGTTTTCGATCATAAAAGCAAAAATGAGACGTTTAGGTCAAATAATATTCTGTTTATAGCACTTGAGAGTATAATAATATACGATTGTAAAATAATTGCTTAGCTAAATCTGAGTATTTCCGTCATAAATAATAAACTTTAAACATAATTTTTCATAAATACTTAACTATATATATTTAAATAATTTTTCTTTGCTTTAATATTTATTCATTGCACTCACCTTAATTTGCCAGCATATTCCGTTTCTATGGCCACTCGATCCCGTAAAAAATTGGCATATTTATCGAGCACTTCAATGCCTTTGTTTGTGTGTATTGAAAGATTATCGTACTGATCCTGTAAATGAAAATAAAACGACACATGAAATGGATTAAGTTTTTTTTGCGTCTCACATTTGTAGAAATTAATATAAATTGTATGTGTATTCATTTGTATTGACATTGAGCCAGCAACAAAGAGAAACTGAATTGCCTATCGCCAGCGGATCAACAAAATCTGCTTTGCAAAGAAAATTAATCGAGTTTTGTATTTTAATAGAGCACAGAGCAAAGCAACTGCGTCACAGCCAACGAGTGGCAGCTAACGCGGCGTATACGCAACACAGACACATTAATGAAATTAAATTGAATTATATATGTAAGATATAAGATAGCGGGTTTTTTTTCTTCCAATTGGCCCGTGGATAAAGATCTGCTGTATTGCTATTCAATTAGCTGGCATAATTCGCCAAATGCTGTATAACAAGTCGAATTGATCACTTATGAAAATCGCATAGAAAGACGTTGCTTTCAGAAACGTCTGCTTTTCCCCATTATGCACGTTCATGCAGAGCTTGTATAACCATTTTTAGATAGCATTAAAGAGACTGAATCCAATTAGCAGCTGCTACTAGCTACTGCTAAACTATTTAGATTTGATATTATGCTAAGCGCTTGCAAACAAAATAAGTCATTTATAGCAGTAGCTCTGGCTGGCATATATGGATATCGTCAAGCTGTGCAACTTCCTCAAAGCACCTAGTGACATAATGTGCGAGTTATGCTATGGCAATTTGCAATGCCATTCAATACAATTTGTCAATAGAGAGGCAAAACAACAAGCTGTGCTGCTCCACTTTTTATACTATTTCGCACGCAAGAGAAATAAAGAGAGAGCGAGAGACAAAGAGAGAGAGAGAGCAGGCAAGAGATAAAATAAACAAAATACGTAACATCAAGAGACGTTGCCAATCACGCCCACAAAGCCACAATAATAACAACAAACTCGTTGTCTCGCCAAACAAATGGAATTTAAAGCAGTCCCAATAGACTCTAAAACTTTGGCCTCAAACATGCGAATTTGCATAAGCTCCAAAACTTTTAAAGACAAAACAGAGCGAAAAAAAAACCAATTACATAATGAGGCACAGTTAGAGATTGCTATTATGATCATGATCAGCATCAAACCTCAATAAGCAATTATTTAGGCCACAATCGCTACGTTTTTGAGGTCTTCTTCGTTTCGGCATATTCAATGAAAGCGTGACAAAATAGAGAGAAAAGGGGTAGATTGACTTTGGAGTAAGTTTAACAGATTATACCGTAGATATAACTAAAGATTACAGGGTATGCATATTCAACAGGCAACTTTATGTGTATTTCCATTTTAATAGTAAACTTTAAGTTTTACAGGGTATCAGTCAGTCGATCGCTATTCAAATGCCATTTCGTTGTATTTTTGTATGCAGTCCCAGTCACACTTTTCAGCGTCTCTTTTATTGCTTTTATAATTAGCCACAGGGTATCAGGCAGTCTAGCATTATCTAACAGTTTCTTTGATGTGCGTTTCGTTATTTAATGTGTAGCGAATTTAAATTTGTTGCGTTTGCATTGATCAGTGAAATTTGGCAATGCCTGCGACATTTTCACTTAATTATTGAAGGCAACGTGCGTGAATTCCATTTAAAAACAAATAAGCATTAAAAAGAAAAAGAAAAAGAAAAAAAGCTATTTAAGTTGCATTTGTAGAATTTTGGGTGACACAACTTTCACTCGGTCAAAAATGTGGGTGTGCGCCCCTTAAGAGAAAACCTATTTATTTTGTTTGGTGGTTAAGCCAAAACTAATCAAGCAAATGGTCAAGAAAGTGCCACACACACTCACACACGAAGAGACAAATCTTAATTGATTGCCTATGTTGCAACGTTTGGGTAGCTGCCACAGTGTGGCATGCATAATGCATGCGGCGCTGTTCGCTTGCTGTGGGTGGGTGGCGGCCTGTCAAGTCGAGCGGCAGGCCTTGAGCACTTAAGTGCCAACTGCGATAATACCCGCGGGTCTAAACTCGGCCTGAACTGAACAAAACAGAAATTGCTTTTTAAAATTCATTTAGTTTACTTTTTATTATGTTTTTGTTTTTTAACTGTTGCAGCTGCTGTTGCAGCACTTGCGCAATATCCTTGGCCAGCGGGAAATTGATCCGCTCTGCGGATCAAGCGATTAAACGGTTTACGTCTGGGCAGGAAAGTTGCGATTAACGCCATTGATTTATATAAAGAGCTAATAACAGGTGAGCGGCACAATCAGTAATTAAATTGCTAATTTATGAATGTTTATGCACGACCAGAGAACAGTGATAATCACTTATGATGTCTGCTGTCTTCAAAGCAAATAAGCTGCTGCTGCTGCTAATTATAGGTAATGTTGCATGCAACATTGTCTGAATTAGTTCTGCAGCAGTCAGAAAGTTGACTTGAATCAACATCAACATTATAAATGTTTAACAATTTTATGCTATTATTAAATTTCAAATATTTATGATTTACAAAGTTAACCGCAATGCAATTTCGAATTTCAAAAGCATTTTTTTTTTTTCCATTTATTTAAACTACATTTTGTAGTTGCCAAACCTCAAGACTAATCAACATTTATGATTTCCGTTGACTGGGTTAGACTTGTGAACTGATCTGTAGATTAAAATGCTGCTCAGTTATGCTGTGAATCGAGCTCCAGCTCGCGCTCATCTCTATGCACGCAGCAAGTCCAATGAATGTTGACATTGACAGACGACTCTGGAGGTTATTTGCCAATCGGAACGCGGCACATTGGAGCGCATAGTTAACCTTGACCAGGCAGCCTGGCACCCAGCGTCGCGCAAATGTTTCGCGCGCCGGCTATAAAAGGCGGACAGCAAATGCATACATACAGACGACAGGCTTATAAGGAGCAACAGCATTGGGGCGCAAGGGTCTTCAAATTGGCATGCCAGCTGCTCCAAACTGGGGAGAGAGAAGCCTCCACGGCATAGCATGTGGCAGCACGCTATGCCAAATGAGGAGCTGGCACCACTGGCAGATGGCAGCGAAAATGAGCAACAAAGTTGCGTGGTTGTGGCAGCTACACAAGTTGCTTGGGTTAACAACCTTTGCGATACTGAAGATAAGCAACGAGATAAACATTTAAATATATAAAATAAAATAAACATAAAAATATTATATACATTTATATATATATATATATATATATATATAAGTTTTATAAGCGAGTCACAAGATTAATGTCGCACTGACCGAAAATGCTGGCCAATAAATCATGGCGAAAGTTGAAGCGCCAACATAAAAGCGGGAATCAGCGGGAATCAGAAAAAGCTAAATGTCATCAGGCACACTTCAACATCAAGCAGCAAATCCATCGAGTTATTAGTCCCAAGCACCAATCCCCCGAAAAACGCTAACCAAACGACGCTTTCACTGATATAACAACTCATATGTTGCCCCTCCCTCCCTAAACTCGTCCCCTTGTCCACTATGAAGACAATCAAGCAAATGCTTCAATAAGAAGAATCTAAAGACAATACAATACGTTTACACTTTCCACGGCACAATAACAAATGGGAAACACTTTGACAATAAAAACCAATAAAGAAATTAACAAATTGCTCAGAGACAAAAGCAACAAATAGCAACAAAACACGTAAGCAACAAACGAAAAGTGTTAAATTCGTTTGGAAGATTGTCGTCGATTGTGCTGGAAATGTACGCAATCAATGTGAAATGGACTCAATAACAATAACAACAACAACAATCATCATCATCATCACATAAGGGCGTTTCCAATGCCCAGACCTGCGGGAACTGACGGAAGGTCTTCGAGGCCTGACACATAGACAGCCACTGGGTCAAGATTGAAATTCGAGCGATTGATTAAGGCACTCACAATCGCACTCGCACAGACATTCACACTCACACTCGCACTCACACTCACAATCGACTCTGCATTGTTGAAGTTAATTAAATTAATCGTGTCTCTGCTTCGATTCGTGTTCTTCAGTTCGTTATTTATTTGTTCGTGACAATTGATCAGAACTCTGAGTGCAGTGGAAATGGGCACAAGAGCTGAGGAAACACTTGGCTAAGCCATGTTAGTGACTGTTTCAACAGCGAAAAGATCTTATCACTCAAGTTCTTGCTAAACATATAATTTTTGTATTCTGACTAATTATAACTTCTTTATAAATGCAATTAGTCGTAATCATTGCCGATATACTCCTTGGACACAGTCGTCAAATCAAGACCAAAGAAATCAAACCTTAGTCAGCTTAAAAACCAACAACAATCGCGTCGATTATTATTAATATTTGGTTTTGCTCTGGGGTTTTTTTCTTTAGTGGTCGGGCTGTGTCATAAATTCAATTCTATCGTCAGCTGTTGCAGTGCCTGGTTTATCTAATCGAAGCATAGACACTCACAGACACAGTCAGGTGTATTCGATGCCAAATCGAATATTGTGCAATAGTTATAGTGTGAGGGAGAGAGAGAGAGAGAGAGAGAGAGAGAAGAAACTCAAGCAGTAAAAGAGGCAGCGTCGTGATGGCCACCAAATGAGCTGCGCTGTCGATGTTTATCTTTATGCAACTGCAACTGCAACTGCAACTGCAACTGCAATTGCAACTGCAACTAGCTGAAGGGTGTCAATTGAAGCAGAAAGCGAGAGCATATTATTAGGTCCGTCTCGCTTGCACTGATCGCAATGCTCTGAGTGTGCGGTACAATATGGTTCCTGTTTTACATTACAATTGTCGAGGCGCTCACTCGAGCAGAAACATTGGCTTCCTTTTGGCTTTGTTGCTGTTTGTTGTTGTTGCTGCTGTTTGTTTTTGTGTGTGCGTTTTTTTTAGACCCAGTTTTGACGACCGACTAACCAAGCTAGAGCTCGGCTCGGTCCGGCCCCGCCAACAGGCTAACCAACAAAACTGGGTAACAGGTGCAGCGACAACAATTTTTGTTACCAATTGCGGCTGGAAGCCATAGACAGGCTAAGTAATGCTTGGGGTGGGGATTTGGCGGTGCAGTCGGGTGT